TTGTAACCATTTTTCACACTTATGACTGTTACAGCATCCCCATGGTCATGTGATCAAAATTTGGATGCTTGGCAACTGGAATGCATTTATGATGGTTGCAGTGTCTTGGGTCGTGTGATTACCTTTTACAACTTTCTGATAAGCAAAGTCAATGGGGAAGCCACATTCATTTAACAATTATGCAAGAAAGGCTGTAAAATGGAGCAAAACTCCCTTAACAGCTGCCTTGCTTAGCAACAGTAATTTTGGGCTCCATTGTGGTTGTAAGTGAAGGAGTTACCTGTAGAAGCATTTGGAAAACCTTACAAAGTTCCACTTCATCCTAGCTTTTTCCTACAGGTACAGAGTTCTTTTTTGGGGGGGATGAGTAAATGCCATTTCACACACAATCAAACACAGCAACTGGGTCCAACGGGATGATTTTCATGTCTGTTTTCAGTTGTATCTTGCCATCTTCGTCTTCCACATGGAACTTGCCATTGATGTTAAAATAGTAGCAATGCAGAGAACAGCGTGGGGTGCTGCTTGTAGAATGTGGCTGAATCTCTAGGCATTTTTCTCTGATTCTTCTCTTTAATTGGTGCAACTACCTTCATTTATTTATTAAATCTTTATGCTGCCCATCTCCCCTATAAGGCAACTCTGGAACGCTTAGAGGCTATAAAACCAATAGGAAAAAAAAATTAAAACTACCCAGATTAAAATTTTAAAACTATACAAAAATCCCAACAAAGAGATGGACAGTATGGGGATGATAGCCTGTCAACCACCTCCAGAGGTGAGCGCCTCCCCCTCAGCGGTTTTGAAATTATATTGCTTTTTGCATTTTGATTGTTTAATTCCTTGAAAGGCAGCATATGTTATTGGAGCTCTACCTCTCACATAAATACTTTAGAAAATAGGTAGTGGTAGCAGAAACTATCTCCAAGCAGAAGATAGAGCCATGGTAGGAGCACCCTGAGTGGTTTTGGAAAAGAAGGTTTGTGCAGGCCTAAAATTAGACCAGAACAAGAAACTGACTCCATAGAAAGACTGTAATTATACTATATTGACATAGAAGATAATAACAGAATCTTGCGATTCTGCTTTTGTTTTACCCTCTCTCATCTAATTAAATCAGCCTGAACCTAATACTAAGTTCTTTACCAAGGCCTCTAAGGAATGCAGTTTGACCCTGAATATTGCCCTTGAATATTTCCTTCAAGGCTATCTCCATGAATCTTTGCCTTCAGCCTTACATCTTGCATGCTTAATAATCCTCTACAAATTATTTGAGGGGAGAAATACCTTCAAAATTCTCTTTTGTTGTTGTTAGTTGCTAAGTCATGTCCGACCCATCGTGACCCCATGGATAATGTTCCTCCAGGCCTTCCTGTCCTCTACCATTTTCTGGAGTCCAATTAAGCTCATGCCTACTGCTTCAGTGACTCCATCCAGCCACCTCATTCTCTGTTGTCCCCTTCTTCTATTACCGTCAATCTTCCCCAGCATTAGGCTCTTTTCCAGTGAATCCTTCCTTCTCATTAGGTAGCCTAAGTATTTGAGTTTCAACTTCAGGATCTGGCCTTCTAAAGAGCAGTCAGGGTTGATCTCCTCTAGGACTGACCAGTTTGATCGCCTTGCAGTCCAGGGGACTCACAGGAGTCTTCTCCAGCACCATAGTTCAAAGGCCTCAATTCTTTGGCACTCAGTTTTCTTACGGTCCATCTTTCACAGCCATACATTGCAACTGGGAAAACCATGGCATTGGCCAAATGTACTTTTGTTGGCAGGGTGATGTCTCTGCTTTTTTGTATGCTGTCTAGATTATTTATTACTAGCAATAAAAATATTTCAAGAAATCCAAATGGTTCTTGTTTCCTAAATTTGCCAGTCTTCTACAACTTGACATTAATCTTAAAAACCTGCCACAGTAACCCTTCCATACAATATACATCATGTAATTACCAGAATTATTCTGGTTCTTTTTCTCACACTATCTCCTACACTTGGACTCAAAATTCTCCTCTGCAAGAGTCCTGTCTTGAATAGAATAGAATAGAATAGAATAGAATAGAATAGAATAGAATAGAATAGAATAGAATAGAATAGAATAGAATAGAATACTTTATGTCACTTTCAATGTACACTAATCAGCATACATTAAAATGAGATTTCACTGCATACAGCTCTCAAAGAGTAACCACTTCCAATATACACTACATAAACATGACAAAAAATAAATAAATATAATAAATTATGCATATACCCGCATACAAACACATACGTGGCCCAGAGAAACAACACAGTTTAGTTCGGATATATACATATACATTCATAAAAATGAATCTTGTGAGTTTACTAGACAGATGGCATAGGGAACAAAACTATTACAGAATCTGGTAATCCTACTAGAAATATTTAAAAATTCCTCCCTGAGGGGAGCAACAGAAACAGACTGTGAAATGGGTTTTTGGGGTCTCTAACAAGGCTTTGTGAGCAGTATCCTGAATAATGGGAAGCAAGCTTCCTATAACCTTTTCAGCTGTCCTTACCACTCTCTGTATGGACCAAACCAAACAGTAATGTAGTTTGTTAAGATGCTCTCAACCATGCCTCTGTAAAAAGTGGCCAGGACAGAAGGAGAAAGATTGCTCTCCTCATCTGATGCAGGAAATGCAGAGGCTGATTTGCACACTTCATTAATTATGACATGTGGGGAGATCAGCTGGGTGAAATCCAGTGACGTGAAAGCTGACAGATTGGTCAAAAGGTTTCATGTGAAACATCCCAACAAACTGAAAACTAGTCATTAATCCATGCTTTTGTTTACATTACAGGATCTGTCCTTCTTGTAAAGGGGGCTGGATGTCAACGCTGCAAATAATGTATATTCTTGCTTTGACATAATATGCAAAACTGTCTGGTATTTTGAGAGTTAATGCAGAGCAGAGGAGGGAGGGGGGGAAAGCCCGGGAAACAGAAAGGAAGTGAATCTTTGTCCTCCAAGTTAATTGGAAGATGTGAGTCATGACCCCGAAATAGGGGAGGGGAAATGCCTGGAATGTTGTGTGCAAAGGGAAGGGAAATTCAGATATTGTCATACCTTCATTATGCTGTGCCGACATTTTGTAACATAAATAAAGACTTTTAGGAAAATCAATGCCTGTAAGTTCTTTGAAGTGTTTCATTAGCCAGAACCTTTACATCAGATTGTTAGTTATCTGCACCCCCAGATACTTAATGCTGTTGACCACCTCCACAGCTACAGCCTCAATAGAGAGTGGAGTATGGTTACGCCGACTCTTTCTAAAATATACAATAATCTTTGTTTTATTAACAGTCATAACCAGGTTATTTTTATTGCACCAATCCACCAGACCCTTCATGTCTTCCCTATAAGCATCTTCATTGTCATCCTGGATAAGACCCACCACTGCCTTGTTATCCACACACTTCACAATATGATCCCTAAAAGATTTGGTACAGCAGTCATAAGTCATCAAGGTGAACAGTAACGAACTCAAGACACAGCCCTGTAGGGAACTTGTACTCAAAGACATGGAGTTGGAAACTTTTCTTCCAACTTGCACAACCTTGGGCCTATCAATAAGGAAATCAAGTACTAGTTACATAAAGGAATATTAAAACCTAATAGCTCCAGTTTGTTCACCAGTGGTGCAGTGGTTAGAATGCAGGCTACCAGCAGTTTGGCAGTTTGAGTATCACTGGCTCAGGGTTGACTCAGCCTTTCATCCTTCCAAGGTCAGTAAAATGAAGATCCAGATTTTTGGGTGCAATATGCTGACTCTGTAAACTGCTTAGAGAGGGCTGTAAAGTCTAAGTTCTATTGCTATTGCTAAATGCTGAAGAATGTGTTGAACACTGAACTAAAATCCACAAACAGCATTCACACATGAGTATTCTTCTCCTCCAGATGTGCCAAGCTAAGATGAGGCACACAGGAAAGTGCATCGTCTACACAGAGGTTCTTCCGATAAGCAAACTGTAAGGAGCCAAATGTAGGGGGAAGGCATGAAACCATGTAGTCCTTTACCAATCTCTCAAAACACTTCATCATAATGGAAGTGAGTGTAACTGGACAGTAATCATTAAGGCATGTGATTATAGATTTTGGGGGCAATGGTACAATAATTGCAGTCTTAAAACATGATGGAACCATGGCCTGATGCAACGAAAGGTTGAAGATGTCTGTAAGAACAATGGGCAACTGGTCAGCACACTCCTTAAACACTCGCCCAGGGATATTATCAGGACCCGCAGTCTGTAGGACCTTCTGAACAGCAGTTGTATCAAACCTGAGCACCTGTTCATCAGGAAGGGGAACAGCCTTCTTTGCTGGAACATTGTGGCCTCAAACCATCAAAAAAACATATTTAGCTTATTTAGAAAATCCACATCACCCTTATATGTCAGGGAAGCTGCCTTATAGTGAGTAATAACCCAAATTGCCACATTCATATAGGTCCATAGGATCTTGAAAAAAATTCTGTATTTTCTTATTATAGGCCTGCTTTGCTGTTTTTATAGCACATCTCAAATAAGCTCTTGCTGTGGTAAGTGCTGCCACATCGCCTGATTTAAAAGTGGTATTTCTCACCTTCAAGGTCTCAGGGGCCTCCGGAGACATCCATGGTTTCCCATTTGCTCACATAACAATAGTCTTAAGAACACTGACATCCTTCATGCACTTTTAAATATAAGTATATTCATATTTGAATCTTGTTCCCTGGTTTGCTAATTTCCTATTGCTGTTCATGAAACAGAGGCAGCTTTCAGTCTTTTAAATTACCCAGATACCACACAAAAAACACACTATAGAAAAAGGATTTTGTGTGGATTAGTTCTCTCATATACCCAAGGGGCAGGATTAACAAAGCAATACTGGTATTATTTAACAAAAATTGGAGGTAAGGTCTGTGTTTTTCTCTGTGAGTTTCACATTCTCTTCCCATTAAATCTCATAATAAAACATCCAGGAAAGACAAGAAAAGACTTCCTTGATCAGAAAAAAGATGGCATTTATTCTTGACTGGAAACCATTTGTAGATTTTTTTGCATGAAAACAGAAAAAAATGAAATTACAATTTGTGGTTTGGATGATTACAGAAAGAAGAGAGCTATGTTGTAACTTATAATTGTACACTTATAATTGTACGTATAACTGCTGTAAAGAAGATCAGAGGCTACTCTTTGTATCTTTTTCTTTCTTTTTTATTTTTCTTTTACTTTTTTCTTCTCTTGCACTTTTATTTTTCTTTTTAATTTCTCCTTTCTTTTTCTTACTTTGTATTAGTTTTAGTTTTTCTTTAAAAAAATCTTTAATAAATTTATATATAAAAAAGTAAAACAGAGGACAAAGACAAAAAAGACAAAGAGGGAGAAGAAGGAGAGAAAGTAGAATCGGGATTCAAAGTAATATGGCTTAGGGTACCTATTATATTTATATTTGTTTTCCTTCTGCAAAAGTCCGCTTTCCACAAAAAAATTAAACTTTTACTTACATTTGACATATTTAGGTTTGGTGAAATTTATTTGCTGTGTTTAGATCAAACCTTGCTTAACTATAGTAATTGGGATCAGCAACTGGCTTACTAAGTGACACTGTTGTTAAATGTGATGTCACACAATTGCACTGACTTATGATGGCAATTGGAACAGTTCCAGTTGCCACTGTTGAATGAATTCTTTGCAGTTGTGCAACACTGCATGATCATCATTTGTGACTTCCCACTGGACTTTGCTTCTTGCAAGCTGGCAGTGAGATCAATCAATATCAATATCAACCACAATAGAGCTGGAAGGGACCTTGGAGGTCTTCTAGTCCAACCTCCCTGTTCAAACAGGAGACCCTATACCATTTCAGACAAGTAGCCATCCAATCTCTTCTTAAAAACCTCCAGTGATGATGCACCCACAGCTGTTCCACTGGTTAATTGTCCTCACTATTAGGAAATTTAAGTGATTGTCCACTAAGACACCAAGGTTCCTCTCACAGGGACTGTTTCTGAGCCAGGTTTCACTAATCTGTTAACCACCTAATTGAAACAAAAGGCAATCACAACTATTGTAATTGTGAGCACTTTGCCAAGCACCCAAATCATGATCACATGACCAGAGAGATGCTACAACTCCTGCAATTATGAAGACTAGTTGTAAATCTCCTTGTTCAGTGCCATCAAAGCTTTGAACGGCCACTGAACAAGTGGTTATTAAGTGAGAACTATCTGTATTGAGAAAGCAGTATCTAGAGCTTTTTTCTATATAGCAAAAAAGTGAAAAAGCACATAGATATTACAAAACAATGATAGATATTGGAACAAGTAGTATTCTTTATATCAGCTGATCCTGGAAGGAAGTCTTATTGAAATAAATGTCACATGCATGGGCTCTTTTCTCTCTGTCTGTGTTAGTGTACAGGTGTGAATTTCCTGTTACTAGTAATCATTCAGACTGGTGGCAGGTAATGAATCAATTTTCTAACTGTTAGAATTTATGATTAAGATTTCAATGTGCAATACATATAAATAGTTACATTTCAAATTGATTTCAATATTTAATTAATAATGTAATATGTATGTAAATCTGTGTATATGTGTGTGTGAGTGTGAATAAACACACACAAACATATATGTATGCTTGAAGAATTGGTGGGATTAAGAGCTTGTTGATTTCTATATAAAAGGTCACATTTTAGATTTCTTTCTATCATCTATCCAACTGTCTTATATTTCTAAAATATTTTGTCATAAATCTGCAAAAGAAATGAATATGCTGTCAGCAGGACTAAATAATGCAGCTTAGCCATTTATAGAAATTTTGTCAGAAAACTCTTGAAATAATTTCCATCCCCCTTTCATATAGAGATTACATAAAACTCATAGATTTATTAGAAGAAAATAGAATGCCTTGTTTCGGAAACTGGAGTCATTTTAGAATTGATAGTGATTAGATTATTTCTTTGATCTTCATACCTTGCAGTAACGATCATACTTTATCAATTTTCCCACTTTGGTTCCTTCTAAGCGCTCTTTAAATACTGTGTCCATCTCCTTGTTGTTTTCTTCACTAAAAAGTGTTTTCCAGTCACTTACTCCACCTGAAAACAAACAATTATTTTCTTTTTCTTATATGAAAACCACACATCTTGTAATATCAATAAGTATTTGCCTAAAGCCTGCAATACTACAGACTATTCAGAGAAATAAATAATAATTAGATGTTTTACAAATGCTCTTTGGTAAATGTTCGATATCTGCCTTTCTGGGTCTATTTTCATCCATCCATCCACCCATCCATAGTACATAGTCCATTGCCAATATATACTGTCAATTTATAAGCAGATGGATATGGTTGCTGCTTGTATTTTTTATTTTTGTATTTTTTTATTTTTTGTTAAAATCACCAATTAATCTTCAATCACTTGGCTGTAGAAACTGAATAAATAAACAAATAAATAAGAGCATCCCTATATATAAACAGTGAATTAGCAGGTACTATTTGATTTGATTTGATTTAAAAAATGAAGTTCTTTTTATCTTTGGCCCTTTGCTGTATTTAAAAACTATATAATTATCCACTGTTATTCAGAGATGCAATAAGCATTGTAGAATTATTACTTCCCTCTCTCTTTCAAAAACAGGAATGACAGTGGGCATAGGATTGTTGGGGCTGGAAGTTTGTTCATCACCAAATCATTACAGAGAGATTAACCTGATTTGTAATTATTATGCTTCTCTTATTTAAAAATAATCATAAAAGTTTATTCCTTTTTTCTAAATTCTAAATAAAGCATAGCTCTCCTTTAAGTTAATAGATATGAGCATGCATTCTATGATGGCTCATGAATTCTTAATTCTTTTTAAAAAATGCAAATGCTCAAAAGCAAATTAGTTATAATTTCATGCGATTTTCCTAATCTATGGAATAGCGATGAATAAGGAACTCTCATGAAAATAGGGTGTAGCCTCAGTGGTGTAGTGAGAGTGCAACATTATGGATTTTCAAAAGTTACCTTTCCGGAAAAGAACTTCACCAAATTCTCCATGGGTTGCTTTAGAGTTATCTTTCATCGCACTGAAAGTGCTCCTTTCTACAACATCCTGAAAGTCTTCCTCATTTAAGTTCAGTTCAAGAAATGTGGAAATCTTTTTGGCTCCTAAAGCTGGGTTCTGAAAAGAGATCAATTTGTATTGCTGGTAAAAAGAATTCTCCTTTATTTAATGTCCCATTTCTAACAAAGATATCCCACCAATTTTGGAAAGGGAAAGATGCAATATATTTCCATCACTTTCATGTCTAAGATTCCCTCTGTTTGTCTCATTCTAAATGCTACGGCTATATTCTACACTACACCTCATGCCAAGTATATAAATGAATGTGGTTTCAGTTACAATCAGAAAGTTCTACATGAATGTATAAATATACGTATAAACACACACACAAACACACACATTATTACAGGGAGCAAATACAATTTCCCCAAGCTTAGTTTGGTCTCATTTCATGTTGATGGATGTAGCTTTGTGTTGCGGTTGGTTGGATGTCACCAGTGGTGGGATTCAAATATGTGAACAACCGGTTCTCTGTGTGGATGCAACTTCCAGAAGTCCATTCTGGGCCTGGGCAACAAATAATTAACTACCGGTTCTGCCAAAGTGGTGTGAACTGGCTGAATCCCACCACTGGATGGCACTGTTATTTCTATTTCTTCCTCAGAGCAGAACGGGGGGGGGGGGAACTACTTATTTGGGGGGGAAATATCAATAAACAGATGCAGAATATATGTTTCCATAAATGTGTAGACCTTCAAGACTTTTCCTTAACTGAAAATGATACGTGCTAACAGCCTGATGATCATGGGTCTTTCTTGATTATAAACTTCATGAAGTTCTCGCAGGAAACTTTGAGGTCATTGGTCATCTCTTTTTCTCTTGATTATTTTAATAATAAGAGTAGGAGGCCAGTAAAAGAGCTTCAGTTAGTTGGGCTTTTTAACTGTTTCTGTAGAATGCATTTAAGGAAACTCTAGAGTATTTTGGCATGAGATTTATACCCTGGCAAAAAAGTTAGGAAAGCTTAATTGGTATTTGGAATAGATTCTGAACATCTAGCAGTGATTCGAATTCTAATCTGATTTATTCCAGAAAGACCTGGTATTAAAATTCCTACTACACCCTGAAACTCCCATTTTTCCATCTCTAAGATTTTTCATTCATTGCTGTTTATGAGTATAAGAAACCATATATCTGAACAGTATTAACTGTACCTCTTTTATCTCTTCATATGTTATTGGCAGGACATTTTCTTTATCAATAAACTTGTTCCATGTACAAAGATACTCTATATAGGATCCCCAGGGCACTATTGAAATTTAAAAAAAAATAATTAAGATCATGTTAGAACAAGATTGATAACAGACATAAATACGTATATGACTCATTGAAAATTTAAGCTGATCTCTGAATATCGCCTCTATAGAGTTTATCTTTTTCCAATCCTTTTCCCTCAGTTGTAATGTCCCTGACTATTCCATTATCTAAAAAAAATTAGTTTCTTCTTTTTAATTATAGTTACATCTGATGTGTTGTGTTTAGTTAGTAATTAATTTATATATGAAAATTTAACATCATCGATAGTGTTTAATTTTGTGATCATAGCACAATTAGGAAACTCAGAAATTATAGTTTTGCACAGATGTCAATGCGCTGTAGTACTTACTCAGTTCTGACATAGTTTATAATCTGAGCATAAACAAGCATATACAAGCAATATAAGTTAACTTGAAAATTGATATGGTTATTATTATTCCAAACCTTTCATCTAAATAACACTCTCAAGATATAACTTTTTGCTAAATATTTGTAACTGGATTTAAGCCAAAATAATAAATATGTATATATGTAATGATGGCTTTACATAAAATTACTTTAGCTGCCAAGGTTATAATGAAACACCTTGAAAAACTGAATTACAATTTTGGAAATAGCAACAGCACTTAGACTTTTATACCGCTTCACAGTGCTTTACATCACTCTCTGAGTGGTTTACAGAGTCAGCCTATTGCCCCCAACAATCTAGGTCCTCATTTTACCGATCTCAGAAGGATGGAAGGCTGAGTCAACCGTGAGCCCCATCAGGATCGAACTGCTGGCAATACTGCATTCTAACCACTGCACCAATATTGGGTCATCTACTTCTCTGGGCCTCTCAAATTGGGAAAAACCAGCATACACAATGAATGAATGAATGAATGAATGAATGAATGAATGAATGAATGAATGAATGAATATATTTTTCTGCTATACTATTTATTTGTTACCAATAGTTGGATTTTTGTGCAGAACCTCAAAACAGCATACATTCCCTGGGAATTAGACTGGACTGAGGCAATGAGAAATATTTGCTTCTCTTTTCAAATAATATTACATCAGAAAAGGAAACTGGTCATGCCATTAACTATGATTTATTGAAATAAACTGAGGACATGAACCTGAATTTGAAGTGTTTCTGAACAAAGCATAAACTAATCAATAAAAAATAATAATCAAGATAGACAGTTACTATGTTCTTCATATCTACAGACATTAAACAATTGGAATGAATAGAAACTCTACTTTTTCCTATCATTAAAGCTCGGAAGAATTCTTCAAATGTATCATAGGGAGGATAAGGACTGAAGTTGTTTGAAAAATGGAAAAAAGATGCAGCAACATCTTTTGGATTTCGAACCAGCATCACTACCTAAAACAAACCAAAAACATTAGAATAAGAAATGAGAAAGCATAGATTATATCTCTAAGATGCACCAGATTCTCTGAAAATTATCCTAAGCTACTTTTTATCACTGAAATTTTATATACCCTTGCCTGTGTGAATATCTGAATCACATTCAGTTCCTGGTATTTTATTATATAGTAATGCAAGAATGTTAGGGAAGAGAATGGCCTAGTGAGACAATATATGGCCAGATTAGGTGGGTGGGTGGCAAGTTTGGAAGATTTTGAAAGTAGCTTGCCCTTGCCTTCTTCTTAGGGCTGAAAGGGAGTGACTGGCCCAAAGTCACCCAGCTGGCTTTGTATCTCATTTAGCCTATATGCCTTAACTGCTACACCAAATTGGCTATCTAGATTAGTATGGAACCTCCATTTCAGTTCTATTTACAGCTACTTCCCCAAATGATGCCTCTGAACTACTAAAGGGCAGGGCTTTAATTTGGAAACTGTCATATCCTGAAAATGCAATTAAGTTGCACTACAGTCATTACAATTATCCAAATTTAAATGACTTATCAATAAACAACTATAGTAAACACAACTATTTATTAACCAGTCATCAATTTGTATGGTACATAATGACTATTATATTAAGCATGCGCTTGCTTATATTTTTCTTTTTTTTATTGTTCAATGCTAACTTTATCCCTATAGAAGTGCTCACTGAATTTTATCATTACAATTTTAGGGCATTAAATCGGCTACTTACTTTGGCTTTCTTCTTGAAAATAGATGGTGGGAATCTATCAGGACGGAGATGAGTAAATATCACTCTCCTGGAAGGATAAGTATCCATCCTCTTCCAGAGCCAAAATTAAATAAATAAGTAAATACATACATACATACATACATACATACATACATACATACATACATCCCAGAATTTCCCAGCCTGCATGAGAACACCAGATTGGATGATTCAGAATAACTCTTGGACACTCTTTAAATTAAAGCTTTCAAAGTCACAAAAGAATTTCCCTTTATTCTCCTCCACCACGCAATCATAAAATAAGAAATTGCTTGGAAATAAATTTATTGAACTCAAAAATCACCCTGGTTTTGCAGGGGGGAAAAATCTAGGTAAATATAATCCAAAGCATGGACTAGACTAGACTAGACTAAACTAGACTAGACTAATAATCACACATTTCAAATATGCATACCTCAAGTTTTTCCATTGAATGCTAGCACTGAGAGTAATACACTTACTGGTCAGTGGATTGGTTAATATATAAGATCAATTTTATCTTTTCAAAGACTGAATCATGCAGAATCAACCTAGCTGTTTTTGATCAAACATAGTCTGATTGACTGATTTTACTCTATGGACATCCTGCAAAAATACTTACCTCTATTACTGTTTTATAATCTGATGAAAATTTATCACCATTGGGTAAGTGATGTCTGTCATACTAACCTTATACTTTTCAGTATCTCCTAATTCAAGATAAGGAATTTCTGCTAGGAGAAGTTTTTCATTAAACTTCTCTGGTTCATATTTCTTTGCAGATGTTATTACTAAATCGGTAACAATCTGGCCAACCCAATTGGTACCTGAGGGGAAAAAACAAAATTAAATATAGTATGTGCTTATGTAGTAAAAACATAAACATAAAACCAATACCAATACCAATTAATTACAAGAGCTGTCCTCATTTACATGAAAATATATTTCATTATATATACTGATATTCAGGAGACTTAAAGAGTTTGGCAAAAAAAACAAGGTAGTGTTTTTTCACAACATTCCTCACCAAAAAATATATACGTCTCTATATAAAAACAAGCTATGAAGAAAATTCTGCCTACTTACTTTATTTATCCATCCTTCCATCCACCCATCTAGACACATACACACACACCATGATTTTGAAGAATATTTTGTAACAGCAGACTTTCTGATGTTAGAGTATCACATTCTAATTTTCTAACTACTGTGGCACACTTTGATCTTGAATGACAAAATAATGCAGCAGAGATTTTAGTTTCTGTTGAACAAGAACACAAGCCAAATGCAGCTGAAAAAATTGAGTAAGGCTTATGTAATGTTGACCCGCTGGAACTATTTCTCAAGTTAATGCTGGCTGTCCAACACCTGCACAGTAGAAAGATATTCCTTAAGGGTAGGGTGAACAACGTTTTATGATCAAGAGTCCCATTTAACATTTCTAAAGGGCAGAGGAACACCAAAGTCAGATTCATCATGGAATTTGTAGGAACAGCCTTGCTTTAAACTGATAGACTGTACACCTACTTCAAAAGTTACATCATACTTTTATTCTATTCCCCACCTCAAAATGGCAGGAAACAGTACTCTTAAAAGATGACTAAAAGGGCATTCAGTGACTGGACTGTAGGGTGCCCTGGGCTTTAGTTTGCTCATTCCTGCCTTAGGCTGAAGTTCAGTGAAAAAGCTTGGATATATCAATGATGCCATTAAGATGGCACATGGGAAGTAAAGCAGAACATAAGTCATCACGTCTGTCTGCCTTACACAGTGAATGCTAGCTACATCTCACAAATTTAAGAAAAACTTTGTGGGATTATAAAGAAAAGCCAACCCTCTACAATACATTATTTATATAAGAAGCCCACAACAGGGAACTGTGCTTAGTAGCACACCCATACACAACTACAGTGTTATTAGCATATTCAAAGGCATATTGTACCCTTTACAAAAGGGTAATTTCCTTGTAAAGCTGTCCCAAATATTTGCCTTACCTTATACTTAATATTGTCCAACTCTATGGTGTAATAGCTATATACATCGTTTTGAGTCTACAGCTAGGCAGCCTTTCATTACTGACCCAGGATTCTAAAATTATGAGAAAGGACTGGTTCATTTTCTCCACAGGATACATAATATTGTATATCTTTTTCCTCTCTGTGTGCATTGTTTCTGGTTATGATAAAGGAAATGCGTTTTCCCACATTTGAACAAACTATAAATGATCCATAAATGTTTAAAGAAGTTGGCATGTGACAATAAACAGCCCAACCAAAGAATCTCTAAGACCACCCACACCAACTCTGGCAGGGCAAACCACCAGAACATGAACTGACAGCAAACCACAGTCCTTAGTAGCACTGATAATGTTACCTAGTTTTCTGCAAGAAAACAAGCAAGCTCATAGAATACCAAGGACTCCTCATTTCAATCCTGAATTACAATATTATCCTTTATTGATGTGGCAATTGTAAAAACAGACACAGAACCCTGCAGAAAAGCTAAAACAAGACAAATTATGTTAAAGCTCTTGAGCAAATTACACATTCTAAAAAAGCAGACCCCAAATACTTCAAATATAAGGAGGTTTTTGTTTTAAGTGTGTTTTTGTTTTGCTTTATTTTTACTGAACTGATATATTAAAGTGCTCTTTGCTGAAATTATTCAGAAACCTTCCAGTATAGAGGACTTGTCTTTGTGTGTAATCCTCCTAGTCAGCACTAGATCAAAAATTCCCATTATAGAATATAAAATATATGAAAACGTCCAAAGGTTTTTCTTTGGAATTCTAAAAAATTGAAAGTCCCATGAAAGACATTGAACTTGCAGGCTTACAATTGCTAGCATCATTAAACTTTTGTAGATAAAATGTCAGCAATATATATATAGCACCTGTGGCATAAACTGTATTCAATTGATCAAATTGAACTCTGTTTAACACTACATTCTTTCTCTCTATAAACGTAATGATACTTTTGTTTGCACGGTGCAGCTTCAGAAACTAAATAGATATTATTGAGGCCCAAAATTGCTCAGGTAACAGCAGAAACCAGTAAATTACAGATATGCAAAAATGTTTTTCATATTATTTCTGAAGTTTCCCTTACCCTTTGATTTTATTTCAGACTGTTACCCTACAATTCATCAATTCATCACTATTACAAGTAAAATCTAATGGGACAGGGACTTTAAAAATATGTATCAAAAGCCCAGGAGACACCTTTGTAGAAAAACAAACAAACGAATAAACAAACTCACCAGATTTGCAGTATCCTGCTAGAACTACATCATCACTCCTAGCTTGGAAGGCTTCCATAGCTTTGAACTGCTCTGGGCTGCAAAAGACAGTTGGGTATGCAATTCCTTCATGAGTCATCAGCATCTCCTCTGGTGTCATCTGCTCTCCTTCTTTCATGACTTTTTCTAGAATCTCAATAAACTTTATTCTCACGTGTGTCATTTCTGCCTCTCTGTTTTTGGTATGTGTGGTGAATCTGTTCAAACAACCCAATTTGTCTTTTCAAAACTATAAAGATGAATGTATATGTTGTTTTCAGCTGTCAAAGAAAGGCAGTGATTAAAAACGTGTATTTACAATCCATATCAAACTATCCAAATAAAAACAAAAACAGAGATTTTTCTGCAATTGAAGGCATTTCAATCCTGGATAATTACTATTAAAATGAAATTGGAAAAAAATAGTTTTAAATTTTATAAGCTCTAATGACAATGTCCCTATAAACTCTTATTCTGCTAGAGAGTTTAAGCTGTTGCAGTTACAAGTTGTAACCTTCTCTAATATAATGCTATTTGGTTCAGCTGCAACAAGTAAGTACAACTAAAACATGAGCAAATATTTTTCCCCATTCTTAAAAAAAAAAAAAATCATTTCATCCGGCTTCATTCTTTCCCTTTCACCCAGCTTTGCTTTTGTTTGTTCCTCAATATGTCTGCATTTTTTGAAATATATCAGATTTACTTACATTCTTCCACACTCTTCCCTCTGCAGTAAGAGACAAGTGTTTCTGATGCACTTCAATACATAAGCTCTCGAGACACTAATCAATCTTGATGGAGATCTCAGCCTTTTCCCCCCTGGCTATTTAACGAGCAACAAGACACAGCCTGCACAAAACTGGAGAACTATCTGTGGTGTGTGCGTGTGCCAGCATAAATAATTCCATGCCTCTGCCCTCCCCCCTTGTTTCCCTTTCTGTTTAATTTTGTGTTTCACGTCACCCACTAGCATTTTTTTCCTTTTTATTTTCTTTCTCCCTCCCCCCCCTCCATTTTAATTGTGAGGTTTTTGACCCTCACATTTAGTTTTAATTTTGATTTACTGAGTTTAAGAAGAGTCATGGGGGAGCACTGGGTGCTTTGCTTTCCTACTAAAGAATACTCATTTATGTTAGTTTTAGAGCTGGTCCCGTTCATCAGCTTTGAAAATGCTTCTGCTAGTTTTATTTTTTTTTTAAACAAAAAAATATTTGTTTTATTTAAAACATTTATATGGCCACCCATCTTTACATCAAACTCTGGGCAGCTCCCAACCTATAATTAAAACAACATCAATAGTAAAACAAAACAATACATACATCTATTAAAAACCTGGATCTTATTATTTAATTGGAAGGATCTGCTCAAAGACACAAATAAGAAAATAATATGTTGCACAGGAGCTGATAGACATTTTTATTTTATTGTTGTATGGATGAAATTCAGAGTTAACAGGCCTCTGAGACAGCCTTCCTGATCTACTGTCCTCGATACCTTGGATTACAACTCCCATGATCCCCATATAGCATTGTCACCCTGCATAGTCACTGACTACCAAGAATAAACACACACCTCATACTTGCAAACCCAAAACATTACAGATTCTTGTACACTGTCTTACTATTCACTGCCCGTTCTAAGACATCTATATCTAACTACATTAATGCCAAAAAAGACAAAACAGGCTCTGACCTTTCATGTTTATTTTGCAGTGTTCTGTCCAACTGAATAAGAGGTGGAGCTTCCATTGCAACATCACAACTCATCTTTTCACCCTTGCCTCCATTCTGCAGATACCACATTATCTATTCAGGGATTTTACCTTACCCTGTAATCTTTATTAGCATCTGCTCCTCCACATTATATGAACAGCCAAAACAACTCTTTTGATGTTGTACTGGCTTGCCCATAAAGCCTTTTATTTTAAAAATGTAAACCCCAAGTTTGTTCCTGTTGCAAGCCAAATCCCCAAAATATGGCAATAAAAGCATGAAGAGTCAGCAAATTACAGATTTGTCAATTGAGGCTTTCTCTGAAAAATGAACTTCTCTGTCTCTGTTGATTTATTCAGCAGACTGTAAGTGTCCTCTTTTATGTTAAGTGGACTCCAGGAAAGTGGGAGATAATGTAAATTCTTGTTCATAGGCAGAGTTATTTATTTTACAGGTAGTCCTCAACTTAACAATTATTTGTTTGGTGACTGTTGCAACAGCACTGAAAAAAAGTGACTTATGACTGTTTTTCACATTTATCTCCATTGCAGCCTCCCCATGGTCACATGATCAAAATGCAGATGTTTGACAACTGGCATGTCAGCACTGGGGAACTACCAGATGACTGGAAAAGAGCTGATGTGGTTTCTGTTAAGTACTTCGTTCGTGTGCGAACGATGAAGACACATGGAGATTTTAAACAGCTCTTTATTTTTCTTCTAACAACCGAACGGACAAGCAAAGGCACACAGGCTTTTTTTATGTGGCCAGAGACCCGGACAATGTCAACAAAGTAACAGAGCATTTCTGCGCCTTGCGCATGTGCACAAGGCTGGCGCCGCTCTGTCTGGTCCCAGGCAGCTTTTGGAATGCCCGGGACCAATGCAACGTCCGGAGCCTGCTTTTGCAGGCTCAGGACACAACAGTTCCCATCTTCAAAAAAGAAAAAAAAAATGGTTCCAGGAAGCTACAGACCTATAAGCCTGGCATCAATATGTGGGAGGATCCTGGAAAAGATAATCAAGCAATGAATCTGTCAACACCTAGAGGCAAGCAAAATTATAACCAGAAGCCAACATGGCTTTGTTAAAACAGATCATGCCAGAGAAATCTTATTGCATTCTTTGGCAATATGACTAAATTAGTATATCTCCGAAATTCTGTGGACATAATTTACTTGGACTTCAGTAAGGCACCTGATAAAGTAGACTACAACCTATTACTTGATTAGATAGAATAATGTGGATCACTCCCAGATCGATTAGTAATTGGCTGATCAACTGCACTCAATGTATAGTCTTCAATGGAACTGTATCTATCTACATTGAGGAAAGCATACAATGGGTGCCTCAAGACTCTGTCTTAGACCCAGTACTCCTCAATATCTTCATAAATGATTTAGATGAGGGAATAGAGAAAGAACTCACCAAATTTGCAGATGACAAACTGGCAGGTATAGACAACACTGCAGAAGATAGGCTCAAAATACAGAAGGATCTCAAACAAATTTCCAGGGCAAATGTATTCCCATTCTGATCAATATCTAATACAGAATTTCAATTAGTTATGTTTAACCCCATCTGTTTCCCACTGTATTTAGTGCTACTTTTTAAAGAATTATTTAAAAATTTGGCTTATGGTGAAGCATTCCTGTTACTGTACTTGCTGTATAACTATGATTTTATAAGCATAAATAGTAAGATTGATAATCCAAACATCAGAACCATTGGTAGTTGTCTTAAACTGAATCAGATCATAGCAAGTCCCCATGGAATCATAGAGGAATCTCTTCAGTCCTATCTGGAAATTGAACCTGTAACATTCTGCATCCAAAGTAGATGCTCTGTCATTGGGGACTTCATGTACACATACTCCTTGACTTAAAACCATTCATTTAGTAACTTCAAAGTTGCAAGAGCATGGGAAAAAGTGAGTTATGACTATTTTTCACCTTTAAACTCTTGCAGCATCCTTGTGGTCACATGATCAAAATTCAGATGCTTGGCAACTGTATTTATGATGTTGCAGTGTCCCAAGGTCATGTGATCACTTTTTGGGGAAGAGGAAAAATGGATGTGAAAGCCAGCAATAGAAACAAACACATGTATGAGGAACGTGAACCATAAACATGAAATAAATATACCTTCGGCTTTATACTTTCTAGGCTTCATCCTAATTCTTTCGTCAATCTTTCCAGTCAGAGCTCTGGAATCCTTGAACTGTACCTATTATAGGAAAATTATTTGACATAATAACATAGATAGAGAATATGAGGAATATAACATGAATATAAACATGGAAAAAATCTGACCAAAAGCCTTTGGGCTATCAACATGCAGTAGAGATTGGGCTAATTAAGGAAACCTGTATCTGCCATTTTGATCTTGCATGGCACACAATGACAAAAAGAGGCAGGAAAGATTATGGGTAATATCTAGTGAAAATCACAGTTTTAAGTCTTTTTTTCCAAAGGCAACCATATGAATAGGTCTAACCCTGCTTAGCTAATTTCATGTTGATAGCTTTATGTGGTTTTGTATAGAAAGAAAGGGTGTTGCTATGAATAATATTAATGTTGTTTGAGGGTAAGGGAGGACAGAAGTATAAAAAGTTAATTCTTTTTCCTTGAGAGAAAATATACTTTTACGTTGGTGACTACAAAACATATTTCTTCAATAGATTTAGATCTTATAAATTAAATTATTTAATAATAACAATACTTTCTGTAACATTAGGATGGCTTTGGCCAGGCATGTTGTGAAGCACTTGAGAGAGCTACCATAATCCAAAAAATTATTAGCGATTTTGGCACATTCACAAGTGATAAGAATCAGCTGGAACTGTGAGCCAAAGAAACAGAGAAGCTCACAGAGAAATCATCATCTTCCAAGCTTGAACAAAAATATAGGAATTTTCTTTACAAGATCTTGCATGTTTAACATTGGTAGATGGTTTCCATGCATCATGGAAACTGATGGTGGAACATAAAATGTTGGAGGTGGACTTCCTTTTCAGATAATGGACTACAGGCAACAAGAAAGATATTGAAATACAGGCTTGTTCATTTAACCTCCATCTCAAAGAACTAAGAAAAGTCCATTGGTCTGTCCATAAGTCCTTTATGAAACATTACTTTATCCTCATTTGGGTCATAAATTCCCCAGTGGATTTCTTCTTTTATTCTGCCATTCAGAAAATCTCTCAAATGATTACACCTAACAGTGGTTAAGAAAATGAGGATTTTGTGAACCTTATGTCTGTTATAAGCTGCATTATGGGTGTGAATTTGATTGAAGTTCTTCAACTCCCAGATCCCCAACTTGCAACTCCCAATTGCAAGTGGACTGCAAAAAAAACCCCTCAGTTTGTGAAGTTGCTCATAAGGAGCCACTGTTGCTTGGAAGAACTCTTTTAACTTCAAAATAATTATAAATCCAAGATTGTTTAGAAAGGGAGATTGAATGAACCCATTATCCTTAACAGCTCTGCTATGTTTGAGATCTTGAGGGCTCTCCTTGTCTCCCAGTGCCAAACTGACTGCTGTCCTGTGATCTCCTCAGGAGATGCAACTGCCTGGAGCAAAAGTGGGAGACCTCTCATCCTCTCCTTTCATTGGAGCAGATTTGTCAGTGGTCCATCAGTGTCAGCCATGTCATTGTCTCTGTTCCTCCTGAGATGTCTTAATTTGCCATTACCTGAAGTTCATGAAGAGAGTGGCCAATGGCCGAGGCATAATTTGTACCTACAACTTCAATTGCAAACTAGGAATTTCTTTGAGTTCTTTATCTAAGTGCCTCAAGGATTGTAGGACACTGCTTTGGTATCGCAGACATTTCCAATTTCTAGCATAGCATCCATACATCCATGATTTTAATCTTTGCAGGAGTATGATCTATGCCGCCTTTTTTCTCATATAGATAATACATTAATTAGACCATGATGAGCTCCCTCTTCAACAGTTTTGGTTAACTTTTAAGCTCACAATATACTCCATATTTTATTTCCAATTTTGTCCCACCAAAGCATTCTTCAAACAACGGTTCATTTCCAGGTTGTGCTGTTCTTCTCTTGATTAATTCCATTGAAAGGGATTCTGATATTGGTAATATCCCCAAGTAATATATTTTGACCGAATTATAAAGTAGAATTAATGGCATTTCCCC